TTACAACAATCTAACAGGTGAAATCCCACAGGGGCTTGGTAAACTAAAAAGTTTAGCCATTTTGGACTTGAGCTCCAATGGCTTTACTGGGGTGGTGCCATTTGGTTTAGCTCAGCTTCATCTCCTTCAAAAGCTTGATTTGTGCTCAAACTGGATTCATGGGAAGATACCACCAGAGATGGGGAAACTAAACAGGTTGGTTTTGCTTGATTTGAGCCATAACTTCATAAATGATCCAATCCCTGAGACACTGTCCGGGTTAGAGCAGATACAGTACTTAATATTTGATTCAAATCCCATAAATTCATTGATTCCCTCATTTCTGGGGTCCCTCAAGAGCCTTACATCAATCACCTTCTCAGGATGTGGGTTAACAGGCCCAATACCAAACTCCTTGTCTGCATTGAACAATTTCACAGCTCTTTCACTAGACCACAACAGTCTCAATGGCACAATCCCTTCAAATCTGGGGTACCTTCCAAATCTAGACCAGCTTAATCTCATCCACAACAAACTATCCGGGGAACTGCCCTTCTCAATGGATTTCATCAACAGACTTGGTGAAAGGCTTGATGTTAGAGGCAACAGTGGGCTATGCACAAGCTACAACTTAGCTAGCAATATCTCAACATATCTACAAACCAGGACTTGCATGGGTAAGCGAGGCATGGTTGACAATGTAACTTGCCTCCAACCTTATGATCTCAAGGGAAAGAAGAACAAGAACCCATCTTTGTACAATGGTAGGACCAGTTCATTTGGTCCTTACCAAGACACAGCACCACTGTTCATTGTAACTTGTTTTGTTGTTTTAAACATGTTTTCTTTTTTGTAAGCATTGATCTTAACTGATCTAATGGCTATGATGGGTCGTTTTCTTGCTGGGGAAAATTGCAGAGAGCCTTAAGGGTACACCGAGATGGTGAAACTAGGAAGAGTTGCAGACAGAGACAGAGAGGGGTGGCATTTACAATTAGTAGTTGGTATCCGGTGACAAAGCTCCATCTCTGTTTGCCGGTTCATTTGTGGCAGCCTTTTTGTAAAAAGAGAGAAGCAAAAATGCGTCAGATCTGGTGTTTAATTGAACTGCATGTACAATTTCAGATTTCTGACACGTATAATTTTGTATCATGTCCCTTTATTATTATTAGATTGAAATTTAATCGACTCCGCCTTAAATTAAAAATAGAAGAGGGACATGATAGTTATATACTGCTTTTTACTAGCATGACAGTTTAGAGTTATTCATGTTATTTTTTTTGAAATTTTTTAAAGATGAAAGTTTTATAGTTTTATTGTCTTACGTTGACATTATAATTATCATTTTTTGATGTCTTCTCTGAACACATAAAATATCGACAATTTCATCTTCTCTGATCATCAAAAATATCAATAAATTCGTTTTATCTTTTTTGACTACTTTATCAATTTAGATTTTACGTAAATCACTTTAAAATTTATGAAATTCAATCCTAAACTCAAAACTAATAAACCTAAAACCACGATAATTTATAATATCCACCATTTGATCAACATGAAATTAAAATATGCAACTTGTTTTCTCATTCTTCATCTCTCGACAGTTAAAATTTGAAAGAAGATGTTTCATTATAGATAAATTAAAAAGAATTTGGAATTAGAGATTTAATCATAAAAAATTAAGAAGAAAGTTAAATGATGAAATTTATAACTTATTTTTATATCATCACCATTGTCATTCTCCATCATCTTCCGGATTCAAATGAACTACTATCGTTTTCCTTTACCTATTTTTTGGGTGATAATGATAAATATTTGAACCATCAAACAAAGAGGAAGTGTAAAGGGACTTGAAACTTCAGTTTTTTAGTTTTCTTTTTGGGTTTACTCATTGAAACGGACCATCGAGGAGCTCTAGGGTTCACTGTCTGCTAGCTGCCGTTTCACCATGATTTAAGCATAAAAAGAAGTTGCTACTGGTTCATGTCATCGCCGGGTCGGTTGGCCACGTCTAGATGCTTAGCTTCTCTTCTGTGTCGATAGAGATTCATGTATAATTTTATATCAGAAATATGAACTTTTAAAAATATAAAATTTTAAGAGATATAAGATTAAATCATAAAATATAAAAATAATAGTTTTTTAAAGAATATTACCGTTTTCAACATCCTTTCTATCCATCTCTACTAGTAGAGCTGTATCACATTTCCCTTGACCCTGAAAATCATGGACTCCTACTCCCCCCCTAAAAAAAAGTATGAAATCAAGTGTAAGCCTGTGAGAAGAGTGATAAGCCCAATTCAAAGTGCATAAGCCTTTGGAGAAATAGGCCTACCTAGGGGTAAACATCCCTTGGATTTGAGAAAAAAAAAAGAAGTTTTAGTTTAATAGTATAGAAGAGTCTATTTGGTGTGGGTTTGTCCATGTTGGATTTATCTCAGTTTATTACATTTATTATTTAGTTATTTAGGTTGTGTTTGAACACCATAGAATCATTGTAAGAATATATAATATTAGGTTAATAGTTACATTTTTCTTGTAATTATAAGGAATTAATTCCCCATACATGTTCGGATGACAGCATAATAGATATCATATACCATATCTATGTAACTATTATTGAGAAAAAGAATGACATAAAGCAGAAAGTTAGTAATGACGATAAAAGATAAATCATAAAAAATAGGTTTATTGTGCTATTCTAAAGATACTATTCTAGAAGCAATTTTGTCTCGATCAATATAATAAAAAATGTGCGACCTCTACGAGGTTACCACAAGATTCTCAAATTCATACATTTAGAACATTTGGTCGGATATCCGCATGAATTCCTCAACTAATAGGCTTAAAGCTCATCCCTTATGCAGTGAGTATTCTATTCGTTATTAAGTGTCTTATAAACTCATGTTTGATTTATATGTATTTTCTTATTATTACATGCCTACTTTTTTTATCTAGTATTTTTTAGTAGTCTAAGATAGTATTTGTTATGAATCTTTCTTAGTCATTGCAACGTACATATACCTTGTAAATACAACTACTCGAACCCTGAATCTTTGTGGAGAACAATCTTTTCTTTAATCACTGAAATCATTAAGAAATTTGTCCTTGTAATTGTATCTTCGGTGACCTTAGCCCCTTTTTGATAATTGGAATAAATGGATCTACGTAGATGATAATCGTCCTCAAATTCTAAACCCTTTTACTTTTCACATTTCTATGAAATTTCTCAACATCAAACGTATCTTCGGAGTAGTTTCGTTGGTATTTTTCATGGACAGTGAAGGTGACATCGGATCCCGGACAGCTATGGCACAATGCACATTTTTTTTGGAACATTGTGTTATACACATCCGGATCCCATGTTTATTGCATGAGAGGACTATGCTTAGATTTAACCCACACTACCCACGTATGTGGACCATTCTGACTAAGCCAATATCCAAATCTCAAACAAATTAACTTACTTTAGTGGTTAAAATAATTGTTGCTCTTCCTAGAGGTAATGGATTCGAGCACCAGTAACTACAAGAGTAATTGAATTTTCATTGTCAAAATCTCGCACAAACTAACATACCTCAGTAGTTAAAATAATTATTGTTCTTCCTAGAGGTAATGGATTCGAGCACCAGTGACTACAAGAGTGATTGAATTTTCATTGTCAAATGGTTGAGAGTATTTAGAACATATACTACATTGTAATTACTTTAGCTTAATAAAAAAATATATCCAATACCATCCAATATATTTGTAACATGTTCATGTCCATCCCAAAAGATGTACAGTTCTTACATTATTTGTCCGTACTAAAATTCATCATGGGAAACAATTAAATATATTGTTAAAATCTTCGTTTGTAATTTTTTTTATCACTTTCTCGAGAACCAAAAAGAAAGTTTGTTTTTCCTTTGAATGAAAATGTCGTTAAAGCACAAAGGTTGTACATGAACAAGCCTAAATACCATTCATGTGTAGGACTAAGTTTTTGGACTTTATAACGTATCACATGTCATACTTATATATACACAAAATCTTTTTGGATCAACAAACACACTAAATAAACGAGGCAAGTAATATATATATTTTAATATATTTAATTTTGAATTTAATCCGAACAGTCCATTTCCTATACAAAACGAGGTTCATACATGAACAAGGCTTTTTTTATATATAGTGTGGTAAATAATTTTCCATTGCGTTTCATAGAAGATCATATATTTTGTGAAGGTTTAATTTTTAATTTTATCTTTTTTTTGGAGGAAATAGGAACATAAGGGTTAATTATACCTATAATCGTTTAACTATGAAATGATTTTAATCTAACTATCGACCTTTTATTATATCAATCAGATTATTTAACTATTTAAATGATATCAATCAAGCTACAAGTCTTTAACATTTAAAGGGTTAATGTGATAGTTAATAAAATTAGTATAATTACATATTTAGTCTTCATTATTAACACATTTTATCAATTCGGTCCTAATTTTAATTTAATTTAATAAATTTAATTATCTAATCAAATAATGCCAATCGCCACATGTGTAAATGATGAGGAATAAATATGTAATTATACTAATTTTGTTAACTACCACGTTAGCTCATCCATTAAATATTAACGACGTGTGATTTGATTATCATCATTTAAATAGTTAAATGATTTGATTAACAAGATTGAAAGATCAATGGTCACATTTGAATCTCTCCATGATTAATTGGTCACATGTGTAATTTACCCAAAACATAATTACTTTTTTTTACCACACTAAATTTCCCCCAAAACTGAACTTCACATATTTTTCCAACTTGAATTAAACGTGTATATATATATATATATATATATATATATATATATATATCATGTGATTGTATACCATCATATCAAAATTTTATGATTGAATTCAATACCAATAATATTTATAATTAGTTGGTATACATATAAAAATATATTTTTAAAAATCATAAATGATATAAATAAATTATTATGTAAATCAACATAAAATGGATATGCAAACTATCAACAAATGTAAAATACATCATGGTCTTGAAGCTAGCTACTAGCAATATACACAAATCTACAAGAGGAAAAAAAAGGATGAAAAAAGCCTCCATGGCCAATCTCATTCAATGAAATCATTACTAGTTGTAATTGCTAGCCAAAAATGATAGACCAATTCCTTCCATTGCACATAATAGCAAGGAGATATAAAAGATGATACTAATCAATATTAATGGTAGGGAGATGTAGCTTGGATTCGATTCTTTCGTTTTTGGAGGAACCGTTGAAGCGATCTCTTAATGCCGGTGGGAAGTCCGGTACTAGGGCTACTTATCGGAGATTGTAACGATGGCGAAGCCGGTTCTGATCCCGATGTTGGAGTTCTTAATCTTTCATCCATTTCTCGGTTCGCAATCATTAGAATTGCTCTTGCCTGCACAAATCTTAATTTAGAATGCATGGATTTTCTAACTAAAAGTAGATACGAGAATATAATATCAAAATCTTGTAGTCTATTTTTGACATATCGAATTCAAATCTTGAAGATAACATTCCTCTTCCTAAATTATAATGTACCAAATATAAAGAAGAATTAAAATCTAAAAAAGAATTACCTGGAGCTCTGTAACATCACAAACGCAAACTCTTCCATTATAGAAAATCGTGAGCTGTTGATGTTGGTTTTCTGGGCTTTCACTGCTCCCTTCTTCCACCCTTCAATCATTTAACAAAAAAAAAACACAGAAAATCAATCACAAATAATATTATTCATTGCACCCAATGTAAACCAACACCAAGGAAAGGGAAGTACACACATGTCGCGACGGTCGCCGGAAAATCCAGAAGGAAGGAGCCGGAGTTCCAAGTTGCAGTTTCGTCTCATCTTCATATATATATGATAATGATGTTAATGAGGATGAACAAAGAAGAAAGTTAACCTTTTTAATTAGGTTTTTTCCTGGAGAAGAAGAAACTGATAATATTGGAGAGGGGAAGGATGAAGAAGAAAATGGGGTATATATATTGATATATATATTTAAAAAGCAAATGTTAATTAAACACGTAACGCACATCAACGTGAAACACAAAAATAAAGAAAACACTCACAGTTTATGGAAAATCTTTGTTTTTCAATTTATGCACGTGGAACATGCGAGTTTTTCATTTTTAAAAAAAAAGGAAATTGTATGGTGAATACATAAAAAATCCAGTACCTTCCGGATTTGGCTGTTGGTTTGGCCTTCCAGCTGAGTGCGCCGTTGCTTCTCTTCATATTCATTGTAATAATTTCACGTGCTTTAAAGTCGACATAACTGATGGCCCTTCTCCGGTTTTTCAATGAATATTTAATATTAATAATAGCTTCTTTCTTTTTAAGTATTTTTTAGGGTCAACTACAATAAAGGTCACTAAAGTTTTAGGTTATTTTCACTTTAATCATCTAAATAAAAGTATTTTTCATTTTAGTCACAAGACCGTTAAACCATTAACATCAGATGGCACGTGTTAAAGGAAACTGAGATAACATACCCACATGTTATTTTATTTATTAAATTAATATCATCAAATACCCAAGACTTTTTCTTATTTTTGTCCTCATTAATTATATTTTAAATGTTTCAATAATTATATTTTTCTCTCAATTAAATAATTCTTTTTATAAAATGTAACTAAAGCCTTTGGAAACTTTTCCGTGAGTGGCAAGATAGAAAAACAGACATTAAAAACATGTGATCACATTTATCTCAAACTTATGTGAGGCGTTAGGATCCCATGTGGGTGCCATCCTTAATCAAAAAATTTATTTGCTATTTTCGGGAAAAAAGTCAATAAAAATAATAAAGGGTAAATTACTTCAATGCTATTGAATTTTAGGTTTAATATTAATTTATCATTGAAATTTAAATTGATACGACTATACTATTGAACTTTGGTTCTGTGTTCAATTATATCACTAACTCGTTAATCCATTAAAAACTATACTATTGATGTTTTTGTCCATTTTTAGTTATTTTCGAAAATCATCACTCTCTAACGTCTTTGTGACCTCCATAGACATTGATTAACTCATCTCACAGTCTTCTATTATATTATCAGTTTAGATTTTCTTAAAATATTTTTAAGACTCGTGAATTTTTTAAAAAAATCTACTCATTTTTTTTAGGTTTGGAGTTTTTTTTCATATTTAAAGGGTTTGAGGTGTTTATTTGAAAATCCAAACAGTGAGAAGTATTATTTAAAGAAGACAAATAGCATATCTCAAAACCTATCTCATCGGACAACCATAAGAGAAAATTAAAGTATTAGAACGTCAAACCTTGATATGGATTTTTATTTATTTTGAGGGGATTTCGTGGAAAATCAATTTGAGGAGAAGAAAAGGAGAGTGGAATATAAGCGTTTAAGTACCGATCTAGCAATGAACAACTAACACCACTAACTTGATTCAATTATAAACCAAACCAGAGGTGTCACATTAGTAGATCGGAGAACATATTCAATCGATTTTGGAACCAAATAAACATTCGATCATACTAGTGTGAATTAATTAATATTTAGGGGAATAAATTGACATATACATAAAATATATGGACCAAATTGCATTACAAGTCATAAAGTGTTCAAAATGTATCATTTTCCAAATTTCAAAATAATGGGCATCGAAACCCAACACTTGGTTTCGAAACCCAAACATTAGTTTTGGCCAATGATGGACGACGATTGACAGTCAACGAAGTAACAAAATCAATACACAAATCAAAATATTTATATATAATCCTCCAAAACGACTTTAGTGGTAAATGAATTATTGTTATTCCTTGAGCCATCGGATTCGAGCACCATGAATGACAGGGGTGTGAATATTTCATCTACATAATTGTGCCATTTCCAAATTAACAGGCCTATAGTATAATTAAAGATAAAACTAAAGTTCATTACTACAATCATATTGATTCAAAATCCAATGATAAAATTAATGAAAACGGAAAGTGGAAATGGTCAATCAAGCTCCGGAGGAACCCGTTTGACTGGGAAATTGATCAATGACAAAATTTTCTACTTACTATTAACCAGGCTGCCAATAATACCAGGAGTGAGGATTGTCTAATGTAGGCTAGAAACTCGTTGGGTTGTTATGCACCCAATGTCTATTGTGAGCAGTCATTGAATAATGTAGTATCAGCAGACATTGTTTGGAAATTCATCTGGGCTGGTTTGGCGCCCCCCAAAGTAGAAGCATTCATGTGGAGAGCGGTCTTGGTCCGTATACCTGTTCGTTACGAATTGTCAAAACGGGGAATAAGCTCTCAAGGGCAAAATCGATGTCCTTCATGCAATAAGTTTGATGAAACAACAGAATACATTCTCATTCATTGTGAAGTGGCTTGGAAAATTTGGCAGGGTTGGTGTTTCTTCTGGAATATAAGCTTTGTCATGTCGAGATCTTTGAGAGAATTACTACTGATTTGGGAGGAATTGCCAGCAAAAGCTTTTTGGAAACTCATCTCTTTCGGTTTTGTCTGGTCCTTATGCTTGGAACGAAATAATTTATTTTTCAATAACAAAAATTGTAATGCTAGGGCTTTACTTGAGGCAATGTTATTGAGAATAGGTATTTGGGTAAAGTCCAAAAAGCCTGAGGCGATTATCTCCATGAATGATTTTATCAGATGCCCTTCGGCGATCTCTCTTCACATAAAGCAACATAGCAAACCATCTCCTGGTTCGTAGACAGCTCCTCCTCGTGGGAATCTGAAATTTAATGTCGATGCGTCAGTATTCGGAAGAGTGGGAAAGGCTAGTATTGGGGGCTCCTCCGTAACCACAATGGAGAGACACTCATCCGTTTCTCTAGATCTATTGGGCAATCCGATCCTTCAGGGGCGGAATTGGAGGCTATACTTGAAGCGTTTTAAATTTTTTCTTCCTCCAAATGGGTTGCAAATGATATTTTGACAATTGAATCTGACTGTCTTTTAGTGCAGAACTGGATTGATGATCCTCTTCAAGCCCCTGCACCACTTACTGATTTGGCTGTAAAATGCAAGGATTTCTGCACGAGGCAAGCGTGGAAGGTTAATTTTGTGTACAAAGAGAGAAATCTGGAGGCGCATGAATTGGCACACGAAGGAGCTCAGAGACTTTATCCATTCATATGGATGAAAACGGGAGAACAATAGTGCATGGCTGTAGCATGCGCTAGGTTAGCTTGGCGGGGATGTGTGGCTGGTGCACCCAATTCTTTTTTGTGAGCTGTGATTATAGTCCTCCTTCTCCATTTGACAAATAGCTGGTTGATATAGGGTGCTTGTTTTTATGGAATATCTGATTTCTGTTGGAGTTAGGTTCTTTGTTGTTTTGAACTATTGGAGTATTGGAAGAGTGATATGCTTGCAGGTTTCAGGGGGCTGACTGAATCTCTGATTGGTCGTAGTATGGTTGCTGATAGATGTTCTTATATCTGAGTTTCAGCTTGTTGCATTGTTTTTGATGTGTTCTTGTTGGTTTTTGATGTGAAGTGGATCTGCTGTTAGTTATTGTCGGATTTGGGCAGGGGTGGGACTGTGATGTTTTGGTATCATCCAACTGGGCTGTTTCGTTCATGTATCGGCAGAAGTGATTGACTGTGCGGTTCCTTTTGAAACCATTAGCCCTAAGTTGGGGTTTCTGCAGTAAAGACCTGAGGCGTGGGGGACTTTCTTTTTTATCAGGGTGAGAAGCATCGTGGCAACCTCTATCGGGGAGTCAGGTGGTTGATGAAATCCTTTGTTTCTAGAGCACCGGCCTGATTAGCGTGGTGTCCTGTTTTGGGATTGCTTAGATTCTGCTCTTTATGGTTTATGTTCATTGTTGTGAGGGCGGGCTAGTTGGTTGTTAAACTTTGCCTGCTGATTCTTGCTGGTAGCGTGTGAGGTGTATATGGCTTGATTTATTCTGTGTTAGATCATTTTTGTCTTATTCGACGTTGGTCTTGGGTGTTCTTTTTCCTCCATTTAAGCGTATGGATGTTTTTTAACGAGGACTGATCATCATCGCTGCCCTTGTATGTTTTTTCATCTCAGTAATAACATACAAGTCTCTACTTAAAAAAAAGTAATTTATCTAACAGAGAAGGAGAATACCATGATTTGGACCATATAATAATGAAACCCAACAATAAACGTGTCAATTTAAAATTGAATGTGACATTGGATTGTTACCTACTATTACCAAACTATAATCAATTAGACATATTTTGTTTCAATCAAATTTAATTATTTTTTAAAATTTACATTATAATATTAATGAGTTGAATAGTAAATAGAATTCTGTCAATTAAGTCTGTATTAGTGTAGTGACTACTTATATTTATTGTACCATAAATTCATAATTAACATTTCCAATTTATCAAATTAGACTCTCTTTATAAGCTTTTGATTTGATGACAAATAATGTGTAGGTTTAATCTAGATTTATTTTGATGAGTCTCAGTCGAATTAATTATTAGCTTGAATTAGTTGATGCTTATCGCAATTAATCATTCAATATTTATACTGATTGATTTCGATTGAAATTATTCATATAATTCATAGGTTGGTGGTGAACAACTTGATATTACTTAAGCAATGTCTTGAGTTTGAATCTTTGTGTATGCAAAAAATTTCTGGTGGGAAACTCACCCGTCAAAGTCAAGTGTGCAACGTTAGTCGATCCGGATTAGTCAAGGCGAAGTCTTGGAATCGGGAGGACAACCAAAAAATATAATAATAAATTACTTCGTATTGTTGTTGTCAAATGCATATATTAATAAAATGTATATTACTTTTTTAACCTATTGACTATACACATCTTGTAGACGTAACTGTTTAAATTTATAATTTCTAAGGAGAACAACATTCTGTTGTAGCATTGAGGTTACTTGATGGGTCCAAATGTATATTATTTTTTAAAAAAAATAGAAATTTATATAAAAATCTTAAGAGTTTCATGGTTTTGAATCATATTCAATGC